TTTTTTCTTTTTAGTTTTTTGTTTCTTCTTAATTGAAATTTATTTTTATTTTGAGTGACTCTTTATATAATTAGGGTTTAATTAGGGTTTTTGAAGGGTTTAATTAGGGCTCTAGGAAGGTTTAATTAGGGTTTGACGAGGGTTTAGTTAGCGAGGGTTTGGCTAGGGTTTGACGAGGGTTTGACGAGGGTTTGACGAGGGTTTGACAAGGGTTTGACAAGGGTTTGACGAGGGTTTAAATGGGGTTTAAATAGGGTTCAATTAGGGTTTAATTAGGGTTTGTTGAGGGTTTAATTAGGGTTTGTTGAGGGTTTAATTAGGGTTTGTTGAGGTTTAATTAGGGTTTTATTAGGGTTTGCTGAGGGTTTTTGATTTCAGGGTTTTGGCAAATGGAGTTTCTTATTTGGCTTATGACCCCACAGTCCCCTGCGGGGGCCCCACAATGTCCCTCGGAGCCCAGCTAGCCATGCCCGGTGAGGGTTTAGGGTTTAGGGTTTAGGGTTTAGGGTTTAGGGTTTAAGGATTAGGGATTGGGATTAAGGGGAGGTGGGGAGAAGGGTTTAGGGTTTGGGGGGAGGCAGAGGGGGGAGGGGTGAAGGGGGCAGGGGGAAGAGTATAGGGTGAAGGAGGTAAGGTTTAAAGCTTAGAGTTAGGGTTTAGGGTTTAGGGTTTAGGGTTTAGGGTTTAGGGCTTGGGGTTTAAGACACATGGATAAGCGTTTGGGGTTCAGGGTTTGGGATGCTGTGTTGTTGAAGCTGCGTCGCGTCGAACCTCTCCATTCGGCTGTCGCTTTGAGGGCTGAGAGCTAGGGTTTAGGGTTTAGGGTTTAGGGTTTAGGGTTTAGGGTTTAGGGTTTGGTTTGCGCGCAGGCTTGTTGCTGTTTGGGCTTTGTTTTCCGCTGAGTTGTTGGCTGTTGGTGATGTTTGCGCCGGCTGTCGATACACCCCGAGTTGTGGGGTGTCTAGGGTTTTGGTTTGACTTTTATGGACCCCACAGAAAGGGTTGGGAGGGTTTGCGTTTTGCTGCTGCTGCTGCATGCATTGCTGCTGCGCTGCTGCTGCAGCAAGTGTCCCCCCTTGCTGTGTCTTTGGCCCTCATCTCTGGCTACAGCGTTTTGGTCCTTTTCCTCAAACCCTACGGCACTGAACTCGTCGAGCCCTGGTCCCCAAACCCTAAACCCTAAACCCTAAACCCTAAACCCTAAACCCTAAACCCTAGACCCTGTGCGTTCGGCCGCGGGGCGGGAAACCGCACTGCGGCGCCAAACCCTTTTGCTGCTTCGGCCCTTCCCTAGACGCGCACGTGCGCGATCGGTTAGGGTTTAGGGTTTAGGGTTTAGGGTTTAGGGTTTGCAAGAGTCCTTTGTCCTTCAATTGTGCGGTTTTCGCGTTGGCCGAGCGCGCACTTGTAGCCCCAAACCCTAAACCCTAAACTCCCGCCTCTCCCCCCGTTTGGCGCGCCACGTAAACCCTTTTTAAGGGTTTAGAAGGGTTTAAAACCCTTCCAAAACCCTTTTTTGTGCTGCAGGATTCTTTTCAAACAACAAGTGGGGCCCCACACTTTCCTTAAAATCCCCAAATCTCTTTACGCTCGAGAAGTTTCTCTTTGCCTCTTTTTAGTGGTGGCCATGCAACTCCACTTCTTCACTCTTCTCACCAGCGGAACCACTGCGGTGCGCGAGGGTTTAGGGTTTAGGGTTTAGGGTTTAGGGTTTAGGGTTTAGGGCTAGGGTTTAGGGTTTGGGGTGGGGGGTAGGGGGTAGGGGTTGGGAGAGGGTGCAACTCCACTTTTTCACTCTTCTCACCAGCGGAACCACTGCGGTGCGCGAGGGTTTAGGGTTTAGGGTTTAGGGTTTAGGGTTTAGGGTTTAGGGTTTAGGGTTTAGGGTTTAGGGTTAGGGTTTGGGGTGGGGGGTAGAGGGTAGGGGCTGGGAGAGGGTGCAACTCCACTTTTTCACTCTTTTTCACCAGCGGAACCACTGCGGTGTGCGAGGGTTTAGGGTTTAGGGTTTAGGGTTTAGGGTTTAGGGTTTAGGGTTAGGGTTTGGGTTGCGGGGTAGGGGGTAGGGGCTGGGAGAGGGTGCAACTCCACTTTTTCACTCTTCTCACCAGCGGAACCACTGCGGTGCGCGAGGGTTTAGGGTTTAGGGTTTAGGGTTTAGGGTTTAGGGTTTAGGGTTAGGGTTTGCGTGTCAGCTGGTGATGGAGGTGATGGTGGTGCTGTTCTTTTCAACTGGCAAGTTGATCTTATTAGGGTTTGTGGTTTACGAAGCTCAGAAAGTGTTTAGGGTTTACAGAAAAAAACAAAAAAAAGAAAAAATGAAAAAAAGAAAATCTCGAGAAGTCAGCGGCGCTGAGGTCAGCAGCTGTACAGACACCTCAGCAAACCCTCTCCAAACCCTAAAATTCAGTTTTGGATGTTTTAATTAATTTAATTAATTTAATTAATTTAATCTATTTAATTTACTCAATTCAGTTATTTAATTCAATTAATTTAATTAATCTATTTAATTTATTTAATTTATTCATTCAATTTACTTTATTTAATTTATTTAAATAATTTAAATTATTTAAATTATTTAATCTATTCAATTTATTTAATTACTGTAATTAGTGTAATCAATTTAATCAATGTAATTAATTTATTTAATTTGTTTAATTTAATTTAATTAATTTAATTACCTTATTTTATTTAATTAATTTAATTAATTTAATTAATTTAATTAATTTAATCAATCTGATTAATTTAATTTATTTAAATTATTTCACGAATTTTGTTTAATTAATTAATTAAATGAATCCAGTCAACTAAATCAATTTAATTAAATCAATGGATTAAATGGTTTGGTCTATTAGAGAAATTTAATTAATTAATTAATCACTCAAGAAGTTAATTATGTAATTCAATTAGGTAATTAATTAATTAATTGATTAGTTAATTAATTAATTAATTAATTGATTAATTGATTAGTTAATTAATTAATTAATTACATAATTAACTAATAAATAAATAAATAAATTTATTAACTATATAATCGAATTAAGTAATTAACTCATTGGGTGTTAATTAATTAATTAATTAATTAATTTCGTAATTAATTAATTAATTAATTAATTAATTTAATAAGTAAATATACATATATAAATAATTAGTTGATTAATTAATTGACTAATTAATTAATTATGTAATAATTTAACTAATTAGAAGACGAGCAAATGGCAAAAAGCCAATTGCCAGCAGCAGACACTTCAAGAGTCCAAACCCTAAACCCTAGACCCTAGGCGTGTGTGGCAAACCCTAAACCCTAATTTGTTGTTTTGCGCGCAGTCGGGCGAGCTGGAGAGCATCTTGGAGACTCCGGAAACCCTAAACCCTAAACCCTCGCATCGATTTACAAAAAAAGAAGAAAAGTTTTTTGCTGCTGCAGTTCAATTATCTCCTTTTCCTGCTGAAGCCCTCGCGCAGCTTTTAGCAGCAGCAGCACTTTCAGAAAAAGCCAACTTCGACATTTTAGATGCTGCAGACTTCCTTTTCCAAGAAGGTCCCCTAGGGTTTAGGGTTTAGGGTTTAGGGTTTAGGGTTTAGGGTTTAGGGTTTAGGGTTTGGGGTTTGGGGACTCAGCGGTTACGCGGCCGCATCGGACACCGTAGATGCTGCCGAAGGCCTCTTTCAGCAAGAGTTTAGGGTTTCGGGTTTAGGGTTTAGGGCTTACGGTTGAGGGTTTAGGGTTTAGGGTTTAGGGTTTAGGGTTTGTGCAGGCCACATAGAGCTGCAGGGCCAAACCCTTTTCTGCGGTTTGCCGCGAATTGCTGCGATGTATTCGGATTTAACTTTTGACATTTCCACAAGTGAACAATTTGCTGCTGAGCTGCAGCAGCTTTTCAAGAAAGTTGCGGCCACTCTGGGCATCGAGCAGCAGGTGAGGGTTTAGGGTTTAGGGTTTAGGGTTTAGGGTTTAGGGTTTAGGGTTTAGGGTTTGGAGTTTGAGAGCGAGGCTTGGGGGCCTCGACGTACTCTGCTCCTTGCGCTTAAGGGTTAAGGGGCGAATAGGCTCGTCTCTTAGGCTCTAGGGTTTAGGGTTTAGGGATTAGGGTTTAGGGTTTAGGGTTTAGGGTTTAGGGTTTAGGGTTTGTGTTGGTAGGTGGAGGCTCGTGTGTCTGCTGCTGCTCGAATAAAGGACTTGTACGGCTCGCGAAAGGCAGCGAAAGTGGAGGGCGCAGCAGCAGCAGCAGCAGCAGCGCTGCAGCGAGCAGCAGCAGCAGCAGCAGCAGCAGCAGCAGGAGACATGAAGCCTTGGGAAAAGATCTGGGGAGTTGAGACAGAAGCAGATATTGCCATGAAGTGGCTGCAGCACCAAATGCAGCCAGCAGCACAAAACCCTGGCCTGCTCAGGGCCGAGTTTGTTGCTGTCTTCCCAGGTCCTGCTGCTGCTGCTGCTGCACTTGCTGCTGCTGCTGCTGCTGCAGTTGCTCCTGATGCAGTTGCTGCTGCTGCTGCTGCTGCTGCAGTTGCTCCTGATGCAGTTGCTGCTGCTACTGCTGCTGCAGTTGCTGCTGTTGCTACGGGAGCTGCTGCTGCAGTTACTGCTGTTGCAGTTGCTGCTGCTGCTGCTCTTGTTGCTGTTGCTGCTGCAGTTGCTGCTGCCGCTGCTGCAGTTGCTGTTGCAGTTGCTGCTGCAGTTGTTGCTGCTGCTGCTGCTGGTGCTGCTGCTGCTGGTGTCGCTGTTTTGGTGCTGCTGTTGTTGGTGCTGCTGGTGTTGATGCTGCTGCTGTTGCTGCTGTTGCAGCTGCTGCTGCTGCTGCAGTTGTTGCTGCTGCAGTTGCTGCTGCTGCTGCTGCATGCAGAAGCAGGTCCTGTGGAGCAGCAGCACGGGCTGATTGAAGTGCCGCCCTCGCCTAGAGATCCGCCCGGCTTCTTCAGGAGGTTAGGGTTTAGGGTTTAGGGTTTAGGGTTTAGGGTTTAGGGTTTAGGGTTTGAGGCTCAGAAGTTTAATTTACGCT